CACCTCAACGAGGGGGTAAGGAAGGAGCCGCACCGCGGGCCCGCCCGGGCGCAGGCCTTGGGCCTTGAAGGTCAGGCCGGCCCCGCCTGGGCACTGCCGCGGGGCCCTGCACTTCGGCCTGCCTCCGGCCTCCCAGGCGGGCGGCGGGCCCTCCCCCGGCTCAATTGCGACCTCCCCGAGGAAGCCCAGAGCGCCAAGGCCGCCGTTCGGCGCTGCCCCGCCGGTGGAGGCTTTGCCAGTGTCGTGGCGCTCGGCAGTTGGGGCTTCGGTGTGGTCACGGGTTTCCCTGGATGCGGAGCCGCTTGGGGACAAGGTGTCGAAGGCGGTGGGGGGATGCAGGGAGGTGAAAATGGATTGAGCTCGCTTTGCGCTCTGTAGGTCTGTATGCCTCTGCCGTTCAGCATCTGCCCGTAGAAGAGGGGGGATAACGGCCGGTGAACGTGCAACCCCCTTGAGACGTGTCTGGGACGCCCAGTGCTGCGCAGGACAGCTGAATCTGCTGTCCCGGGCATGAGCGTTAGACAAGATGTGTCGAGTCGTCCTTGCATCTCCAGGTAGAGCTGTGGTGGGATAAGATTTGCCTGGACACTGGGTCACACGGACAGGGCATATAACGACTCCCTGGACAGGATGAGGTGATGCAGTGTGTACCGTGAGAGTAGTCAGGAGGTGCAGTTATTTTCATCTTAAACCAAATACAGAAAACCTTTAATGTGTTGCACATTCCCATCTGCAGCACCGTGGTCCTCTGGCCTGCAGTGCTGATGTGCTTCTCAGAGCACACAGGGTAGTTTCCCAGGATAGCCAGGTCACCTGAACAGCTCTGAGGCTGGAAAGAGGTGCTCTGCACCATCCCTGACAGCACCACGTCTGCTCTTTGGCCTCCTAAACCAGGTCACAAAGTCAGCTGAAAACTCATACTTCACAAAGTGACAGCTGCTCTGCCCAGAAGGAACACCGCAGGGTTGGGTGAGCTGAGGAAATACAGTGAAGAACAAGACCAGGGTCCCTGTCTTCTCCTTTTTTAGCAAAAGTCATTTGTTAAAAGCTCACATGGAATCACATCTGAACTTGAGCTTTGCACTTAACTCCTCTTTTTAAGTGTAGTATTAATTTTCTGTGTGCTAACGTCTTCTCAAGCAGGATTGGAAAATTATCAAAGCATTGTTTACAAC